CACAGAAGCCGCCTCTTTCTTCCGGAAAGCATCAGGGGAGTTGTGGCCGTCAGGCGGGCTGTGTTTCCGTCTAAATGCCTCTGCGCCTAGGGCATGACCTGCTGATTTTCCGCAAGAGACGCCGGGTCACTGCAGCGACAGTGCCCCTTGGCTGCTCTGGAAAGCTGCGTGATTTTTGTTGTTTGTGTTTTGGTGCAACCTGTCTCTAACTCGTCACTTAAAATTTTTAAAAAGTGCTCATTAGCCTTATTAGGAGGCTGTGAAATCAGAAGTTCGATTCCCTGGTTCATCACCTCAGAGATTTATGACTTTGAACAATGATTTCATCTCTTTGAGTTTCTTCATCGGTAGAAAGAGGATTACAAACTCTTATCAGCTGGGTACAAGGATGAAGTGACATATCTGGTAGCTATCCATCAGCCTTTCTTCCTAAACAACCCATGGAATGCTGGTAAAGTGACTCTCCAAACACAGAGAGCCCTAATTTGTAGCAGTCATGGATTTCCAGAGTGAAAGCAAAGTCTCTGTGGCTGATGTCACAGCGCGAGGAGTCAGGGAGAGACGTAATCCTGCATCTCTGCGGGCTGAGGAGCTCTGGGTGACACTCCCCTGAATATCACGGACACCAGCACTGGCTAATTTCATCAGGAAAAAATGGGGGGCTGAGGCAGAAAGACGGCCAGGAGTTTGAGGCTAACTTGAGCTGCACAGTGAGTTCAGGGCCTGCCTGCCTGCCTGGACTATTACATAGTGAGACCCTCAGTAAAGATGCCCTGCTCCTTATAGGTGCAGGAACTGTTATGTGCTCCCGTGTCACCCACAATTCTGGACACTAGCCAATGCTACTAAAATTACAGCTGTGATACCCTGGAAATCACCATGCATTTCTGGCCACTGCCACCCTCTCCAGCATGGCAAAGCCATGGCACCCATTTCTGCTACCGTTAGCTCCCTACTTAATCTATGAAGGGCCATCTGATTGGGTGAGCCGAGTCACATGTCTGTGTTCTGGCTGCAAGGGAACCTGGGAAAGCGAGTGCACTGGTTTCCTGTGGGAACTGGAACAGTGACTGTGGCCCAGGTGGCTTCCGACAGCGGAAATGTGTCGTCTCACCACGCTGCAAGCTGGAAGTCCAGAAGCAAGGTGTCTGTGGGACTGGGTTCCCCAGTGTCCCCCGAGAATAATCCTCCTGCTTTGCAGTCGTGGTGGCTGCCAGAATCTTTGGAGGTGAAGCACGCTGGTTTCTGCCTGCATCTTCACATGGATTCTTTTCCTTCTGATCTCTCTTTTATGTTTTCACAGAGCCTCCCCCATGTTAAGCAAGTGCCCTGGCCCTGAGCTACTCTCCAGATTCTCAGTGTGTCTCTTTATAAGGATACTTGTCATTGGGTTTATGACCCACTGGGATAATCCAGGATGATTCATTTTGAGATCCTAAATTTCACTGCATCTGCAAACACCACTTTTTGAATAGTCAGTCTCAGAGTCGAGGTATTGGCATGGCACGTTTTGGGGGGCACCATTCAACCAACGGCAGTGTCTGACTTTTCAGCTTCCCGCCGGCAGTGAGCTCTTCTTCATGAAGAAGGAGATTCCTGGGTAAGGGGGCATCTGAGAGAATCCTCGGTGTCTTCTAAAACTGGCGTGGCAAATGTTTTCTGCAGAGGGTCAGGGGGTGAACACTTGCAGCTTTGAGGCTGCGCGTAAGCAGCCGTAGTCGGGATGCAAATGAATGGACCTGGTTGTGTTCCAATAAAACTTTATTTACACAAGCAAATGGCTGTCCAGATTTGGCCCAGGGGTTCAGTCCTGGGAATTAAACTTGCCAATATGGTAAAAGCTAAGAGTGGATTAAGTCTTTCATCTTTAATGACTTTGAAATGCACTGAGCTTGGAGAGCGATCTTTGCTTATTTTGTATCGCTGAAATGGAATGCCATAGACAGGGTGACTTACAAAGAACACAGATGTATCTTTTATAGTTCTGGGAGGCTTGGGAGTCTCAGGTCATGGCCACTCATTTGATGAGGGCTTTTTTGAAGTGCCATTTCATGGTGGTTATGCTTTATATATGGGTGCCTCTCCCCAGCACCTCTGGCACGCAGAAGTGGGGCCTGTGGAAGGGGACTGAATTATGGGGGTGCTATAGCTGGCTCAGTGCTGGAAGACTGGTCTGGCTAGGCGAGGTGAGGGCATGACCCGGAAGGGCTTTTCTCTCTGTGGGTTCCTCCCGTAGCAAGCTGCTTCCTGGTCGCCATGATGCGAGCTGCTGTCTTCCACCAGCCCCTTCCACCGCCGTCCTCCCCAGAGCCAGCCTGAAGCCTTTCCGGTCAGCACTGATCTACTTATACTGCCTGCCGGGGCCTCACTCTCACAGGCCCCACCTGGATGCTGTAGCATTGAGAATTCTGTTTCCAACAGAAGCGCTTGAGGAAGACACACTGAAGTCACAGCGTGGAGAGGGTGTGATGGTGCACACCTGTAATCCCAGCAGTCCGGGAGGCTGAGGCAGGAGGATCTCAAGTGTGAGCCCCACCTGGGCAATTGAAAGATTTAGCAAGATCCTGTCTCAAAATAAAAAGGGCTGGGGGTGTAATTGAGTGTGAAGGTTCTGAGTTTCATTCCCAGGACTGAACCCCAAGAAGGAAGGGAAGGATATGCCTGATTATAAGAAGGAACAGGACGAGCTGGATGGGGCTTTGCACAAATCCTCCCCATTAGAGGAGAGTGGGGTGGAGTGGAGCAGGGTGAAGCCTAGCAAGCCCCACTTCCTGGAGGGGTGACAGACATGAGAGCCAGAGTCCCAACTTCCATGATTGTGATGTTGGCTCAAGGAGCAGTGTCCACAGCAGCCCCAGAGCACTGTGGGGAAAATACCTGGCTCCAAAGGCTGGCAGATCTGGGCCCTGCTCAGCCCCACCCCTGCCCTGTACTCGATGCCAGCTGATTTGCCCCCCCCCCCAGAATATGGGGGGTCACTAGAAGACTTCTGTTTTTGCAAGAACCTAGCATGTGCCTGATGCACACAATAAGCACCGAAACCAGCAGGATGCCCTTCCTGGCAAAAGATGCCACCTGTGAGGGGCTGGGGGTGGCGCCCATCATGATGTATACCTCACTCCCGGGTTTGCAGCCATAAACAGACATCAGCCCAGTTCTCATAGGCGAACGTCCGGAGAATGACAGTGAGGTCTATACGAACAGTGTCTCTAGAGTTGTGCAGTGCACAGCCTGTACAACGATACATGGCAATGTTGCTTTATGGGAGAGAGAGAGAGTCACAGAATAATAACCAGAGTCACGGAAACATTCAATCTAGATCAGTAAAGAGGTGAAGGAGTCAAGGGGGCGAGAAGGGGTTAACAGATTCCAGAAGGACAGAGCTGGACAAGGTAGGTTGAGGCCATGCCTCAAGAGATCTGGCTTAACTTCAGGGGAGGGAGCTGGTGGGGAGAGGGGTATGTGTGAGGAGACCCGGGGCTGGTTTTCCAACTCCAGATCCCTGGGGGGCCTCTGGGGGAGTTTAGGGCATGCTGGGAATGTTGCGCATTCCATTGCCTTGGGCTCCTCCAGAGGGAAAGACCACGTGGGTGGACAGTGGTCCTTTGTGCCGCAGCGGGGTGGCCCCAGCTCCCCCGCTGCGTGTTCTCTGGGGTTGCTTGACCTCTCTGGGCAGGTGTTTCATGGGGAAAGCAATTTTCTTTCCTCTGCAGGGCCTGGTCCCGGTGTCTACTCTGTCAGGGACAGAGGCCAGCTCTAGGTACTGGCTGCTCCTGGCCTGCAGGTGGGATGAGTGGCAATGTGGTCACCTGAGGGCGGCTCTGTCTGTCACCACCCTTCTTAAGCCACCTCTCTGAGGACTGTGTGGTTTTTAAAATACAGACCTGCCGCTGCGGGGGCCCTCGGCCCAGGGTTGGAAATGGGGGTGTCTCTTGCACACCCCCAGACGCAGCCGGCAAGGTCCTGGGATCGGGATCAGAATCAGCAGGAAAGGACAGCCAGGACTCCTCTTGTGTCCCGCGTGCATGTGCGGGGGGTCAGGGTCCTCCTCACCTCCGACCAGCAGCAGAGCCCCAGAACTCAGGTCTCTGGTCTTGGGACTCCAGCAGCCTGGCTGAGCAACCGACCGTGGACACAAGAGCCAGACAGGAAGGGCCGGCCTGCGTGGTGGCCGAGGCAGGCTGCGGCAGGAAGATTGCAAATCTGAGCCCAGCCTGAGCAGTCTGAGGACTTAGCGTCACCCTGATTCAACATTGAAAATTGGCCAGCCCAAGAATGTAGCTCACTGTGAAGACCCCAGTTCAATCCCACTCCTGAAACAAACAGCGAAATCCTGGAAAGTAATCCTGTGTCATCTTCACACCGAGTGGGGTCAGCTGACTTAGTCCCACCACGCAGGAGGCTGAGGCAGGAGGATTGCTGTGAGTTCAAGGCCAGCCTGGGCTACACAGTAAGGCCCTGTCTCAAACCACAAAACCTTTGAAAAGCAGAGTAAAAAGTAAACACTAGGAATATCAGGACGATCCACCTTTCCGGGAAGGGAACAGCAGAGGCTGAGCGCCTGGGTCTCTATTCTCGTCTCTCTGATACATTTTGGGTGTGGAGGGAGGCACCCTGGCATGCGCAGTCTACCAGGGTGATTGTCTTTCCAGGTGGGTTTTTCCAAAGATACCATCTCATCTCGCTCTCTCTCTTTGGAGGTTGAACCAGGGCCTCGGGGCCTTTGCACTGAGCTATGTCCTCAGGCCTTTGCACTTTTTGACAGTCTGACCGTGTGACTAAGTTGCCCAGGCTGAGTTCAGACTTGAAATCCTCCTGCCTCAGCCTCCCAGGGTCCTGAGATCACAGGCAGGCGCTACCACATCAGGCTTCGCCCATTCTTTAGCTGCCGTGGACTCTGGTGCTCCCCTCTGTGGCCCTGGCCTCCCTTCTAGTGGGAGAATGGAGGCGGGGCAGCGAGCAGCCAGAGGCCTGAGAGCTACTTTCGCTTTCCTGGAACCCAGCTGCCTGCTGGCCCGGCTGCCTCGTGAAGAGAGCCAGAGAGCCGCTCCCCGCCCAGCAGCGGAAGTCAACCAAAGGCACAGGAGAAGGCGCTCAACTCTTCTGCCTGGGCCCAGCTCCAGCCTCGGGGCCTCGGGGAGACCCCATCTGACTTCTGTGAGGCAGACCAGCCCCAGTGGGGCCCGTTCAGGGCAGTGGCCCAGGATGGCTTCCAACTGGCACCAGCCCCCTTCCTCAGCTCCCGCGTGCTGGATCACAGGTGTGTGCCACCACACTGGGCTTTGATTTAGCACTTTACAGCGGGAGAGACACACTGACTCTGACTCGTGATATCTGAACGGAGGTGGAGATGGTGGGATCCACAGAATAGTGACAGGGAAGTGCCAGCACACATGGTTCACCCCAAGTCCAGTTTCCTGCGGGTCTAGTGAGCACCCACCTGGAGGGACCCGCGCCACGGGACCCTCAGTGCCCCCAGGGGTGCACCTAGCTTCGCTCTGTTCTCCTTCACCCTGCCCTTCCCTCTGCATAAAAACAGCCTGGGGGCCGTGTCTCTGAGAGATAGAATTTAAGTTACCCAACCTCTGTGTGCCTCAGTTTCCCAACCTGGTGAGGGGCGCAATGATGGCACCCACTACTTCGATTGCTATGGGGATCGAGTCCAGGCATGTAAACTGAATAGCAGTGAATGCTCTGTGACAGGCACCAGCTACCGAGTATTTGCAGTCTATGAGTATTGTCCCCATGTTACAGATGAGGAAACTGAGGCATAGACATCTGGGTGGTTTGTCCAAAATCATAGAGATCAAAAAATAAGAGCGAGACAGAACTCGTAAAGATCAACCTGCCTCGGCCTCCTGAGTGCTGGGCTCACGGCCTGTTCCCCCATGCCCAGCTCCAGATTGGGCAATTTATAGAGAGTAGTGGTTTGATCGGCTTCTGGACTGGACTTCTGAAAGTCTGGAGGACAGAATCAGCCTCCAGCTGCTCTGCTGCACGGCGAGGACATTGGTGGAGAAGCACTCAGTGGCTGGCTCGAGGCCGTCTTCTCCTTGGCTGATGCCACTCTCAGGACCTCGCCTGACCCTAACCATGTCCCAAGGCCCTGCCTCCAAATGCATCAACCTGTGGGGGTGGCTTCTGACCTTCAAATCAGCGTGGGATCAGAGCACACCGGCAGCCTCCATCCCTGAATTTTGCAAACTGCCCAGCCACCTCCAACGGGAAGCTCATGGTTGCCTTAACTCAGGGTGATTGTAGCTTCCTGCAATGCCCAAAGCCCAGTGCCCATTCGGGGCTTCAGAACTGCGGATCCTCCTGGTGATGACAGAGTGGGCGAGGTCAGAAACACCCACAAGCTGGGAGCCGCTGTCCGGGCCCAATCTGCTGAGCCAGGAGCAGGCTCTTGGCAGCAGGAAGTGAAGAGGGGCAGAGGGAGACACCAAGCTCGCACCCTGCCCATGGGCCCAGCAGGCCAGGGCTGTCCAGCCGCCCCTACTCCTGCAGGAGACACGTCAGCTCAGCGACAGGGACAGATGGAGCCCTGGTGGCCTCAAGGGCCTGGCCTGAGGTAGCACAGGAAGTGCGGCAGGGCTGGACTTCCCCCTTGCTGTGTGACTGTGAGGAGCTCACTACATGTCTCTGAGCCCTTGTCCGTGCTGTAGAATGGAAGATTGTGCATAAGACACACACCCCAGGCTTCTCCAGAGCAGAGAAGGAAGCCTCAGTGGGAATCCAGTAACCCAGCTGCCTCCAGCTGCCTGGCAGGGGTGTGTGTGTGACAGACAGACAGACAGACAGACAGACAGACAGACAGTGGCTCTAGAGATGGTAAAGGAACAACTGAACCTAGCTGTGTATTTTCCTGCCCTTCCTAATCTCACGACCCTATCGTGTCCATTTTACAGATGTGGGAACTGAGGTCCACAAAGATTCCAGCCCAGCTTGTGTTCCTAGGTAAGGATGGACTCTTTCTACCCCTTAAATTCCTTTTATAAGCAATAAAAGAGCCAGGTTGGACTCTTTCTACCCCTTAAATTCCTTTTATAAGCAATAAAAGAGCCAGGTGGAGTCCAGAGCCACACAGCTTTTTCCATAAAGGATGAGCTAAGCCAGGGATAAAGGGATAAAGGGATAAAGCTCAGCAGCACAGCGCCTGCCTGGCAAGTGTGAGGTCGTGAGTTTGATTCCTGGTATGAAAGAAAAAAACAACACAAAACAGAAGATAGTGAGGGCGGGATGGTGTGATGGATTGAAAACTGGCCCTAAACAGCAGCTGAAGTGAATCAGCGCGGCGCAGAGGGTTCCGGCCCACCTGAGGACTGCTGGAGCCGAAGAGTTGTTGTTTGGTGCTGTTGGTTCTGTTGCTGTGGGAGCTTCTTCCCTGATATGAAGTCAGCTGTTCTCACCATCGGAGGAGCTCGGGACCTTGTTGTCGCTGAGAGTGGCTGTGGTTCACCTTGGGGGAGCTCTGGTCGTCACTTTGAGTATCGCTTCCTGGGTCTGCAGGGGGAGAAGCTTGCCACGCTGGCGTCCTGACATGAACTCAGCTGTTCCCAGTGTTAGAGGAGCTCAGGACCTCAGTGTCACTGAGGATGGCTGTGGTACTTTTGGGGGGAGCCCTGGTCCTTTGGGTATTGCTTCCTGGCTCCAGTGCAGAACCCTCAGCCTGCTGGCACAGATCCTTCACCCCACTGGCATAGACTTTTTGGCTTCCACCGCTGGCCTTTGGGCCTTCCCAGTGCAGATCCCTGAAAGAGACTTGTATGAGTCTTGTTGGGAGCTCTAGGCCTCCAGCTGGACACATGGGGGCATTATCATGGGCTCTAGGTCTTCAACTGGACCCATGCAGGACATCGCTGTGGGATCCAGGCCCTCAGTTGGATTCCTTGGGTCTCAGTGTATGGACAGATTTCTTTGAATTTGACTCAGGTGACTATTGTGACATTTACAATTACGTGTGCTGTATTTTCTTGTTCTCCTTGCAAAACCTTGACTACAACAGACAGTAAATATTTTAGGCTTGTGGGTCCTGGGCATCTTGGTGATGATGGTTGTCCTCTGCTGTTGGGTGTAAAGGCAGAAACAATCTATAAATGATGAATGAGCACAGGTGTACCAATAAAGCTTTATTTACAAAAACTGGCACAGTTCTTCCCCTGCTACTCAGAGGGCTACAGTGTAAAAATCCTAGTAAGTGACATCGAGGATGTGGAGAACTCGGGGCCCCAGAACTCTGCTAGCGGGCGTAGCATGTGCAGCTGCTTTGGAAAAATGGTAAAGCATAGAGTTAAGCATGTGGACCGGCAACCCCACCGCTAGATACATACTCAACTGAATTTAAAACATACGTCCACCCAAGAACTTACACCCCCCTACTGCGGATGCATGGATAAATTAGCCAACACGGCACCGTCACAGAATGAAATATTATCTCATCAAAGGGAACAAGAGAACCTTAAAATTGTGGTTGGTGGAAGATCCAGACACAAGGGGCCGCCTGTAACATGGTTCCGTTTACAGGAAATGTCCGGAAGAGGCTAATCCATGCCAATAAAAGAGATCAGTGGTTTCCAGGGGCTGGAGCGGAAGGCGTCAGGGCATGAGGGAGGACCGGTGACAGCTAAAAGCTCAGGTTTCTTCTGTACAGGATCAAAATATTGGGAAATTGAGTGTGTGATGGTGGCACATCTCTCTGAATATATATAAAAATTGTATATTTAATGGTTTTACTGGTATGTGGGACCCCCGCCCCCTTTTGGCCTTCTCGCTATGTATTCCTGGCTGCTGTGAGCTCTGCATGTTCCCCAGGCTGCCTCAACCCTCCCCCCGGCCCCCCATCCTCTTGCCTCAGCCTCCTGTGTATACCACCACACCTGGGTAGTAAATTAATTTTTAGATAATAGCTTTATTAAGATACAGTTTATGGAAAAGGAAGAAAAATGGAAACAAAGCTTTTATAAATGGGGAGGGAAGGAGGGGTTAAAGGTGGAGTTAGGGAACGGGAGAAAAAATGAATCAAATTATATCAGGTACAGATGCATATTCTGTGTGATGAACGTGATCCTTATATATCTAAAATAAAATCTGACTAAGGGGGAAAAAGATATGATTCATAAGGCCGATTGTGGTGGTGCACACTTATAATCCTAACACTCAGGAGGCTGAGGCAGGAGGACTGCTGTGAGCTCAAGGCCAGCTTGAACTGCAGAGTGAGACCTTGCCTCAAAAAGACTAATAAAAAAAAGTTGTACTGATAAATTCCAGGTAAAATTTTTAAACTGGGCACTTGTGATCCAAAAATTAACCACCACAGGTGGGCTTCAGGTACTGTTGGATCTAGAGGTGCAAATATCCCTGGAACCTGGCTCTTCTCTATCCTAAAATTCCATGAAGTTACCAGCAGGTCCTGTTTATTCCTTCAGGTTCATATCTAGCAGAAAACAGTAGTGTTTTCTGAATGTTGTTGCAAAAATCAGTTTCCCCTGGATTCTGATTGGCTCACTTGTCCATCTTTAACCCAATTACAGTGTCTAGAAGAATGCAGCGTTCTGATTGGCCAATCCAGAGCCACATGGCATTCTGGGTGCTGAAAGATGGATTTAACACAAAGCCAGGGAATAGGCTGAGGTGGAGGGGGAGGGGGGCTTCTTAAGGAAAATTGGGGTGCTAGCCTATGTAGGATCTCACAGAAATCAGGAAGCATTTATTATGCTAAATATTTTTGCTTAAACACTTCCAAACACCAGAGGAGTTAAACAAACATGGTTAATCAGTGACAAATTGAAGTACCCAGCAGTGAAGACAGAGTACAGATCACTGGCAAAGTAAACCCTGCCCTCCCCGCCCCAGGATTTCACCTTTGCTCTCAGCAGGAGGCTTAAGTACCCGTGAATGGAGACGAAGGGGTCATTTATTCTACAGCTGGTTATTACAGCCCGCCACGCACACCACACCGTGTCTGTAAACTTCTCTTAGATCAGGAAATTGAAAGTCGTGGAAATTAAGGGGCAGACCTAGAGTCTGTGAGCAGTGTGCAGGGCTGGCTCCTGGGCTTGGGGAGCAGCCAGCGCCCCTCTGTTGCATTGCAGAGCCTTTGACAAGGATGCGGAGTCTGACCCAGAAGAAAGCCCAGCCCAGTCTGGGGTCCTCAAGGCAGCTCTGATGCTGGGAAGCTGTGTTCTCACAGGCAGGCCGCTGGGCTTCTCTGTGCTCCATGTCAGATGAGAACGTGGCCCTCTGCTGTCCTCTGCCAGGCCCTGTAGGATGCGACCCTCGTGCCTAGACTGCCTCTGGTTCCTCTTCCCTGACCTCCAATGTTTCTGGTCCTTGCACAGTAATGGCTTCTTCTCGCCTCTGAGCATCCCGACGTGCTATTCCCTGGGTCGGGAAGGCTCCGCCTCTCCTGCCCAAGCCTGGCATTTCCGGACACTGTGGCATCTCAGAGCGGAGCCTGATCTCCAATCCCTACCCTGCTCTTTCCCACCCAGGGCCCGGTCCTGCCATATAACACTGTCAGAAGTGACCCTATTTTCCCACTGGTTCTTGTCCATCTTTGTCCACTAGAATGCGTTAAGTTCATGCTACTAGAGACCTTGTTATCTTTTGGGCATCTGTACCTCCTGGTAGCCAGAACAGTGCCCAGGACAAAACGGGAAATCTCTGTAGCGTGAGTGTGGGAGTTCTGCCCACCCTCAGAGCCGGCCCCTCTGGTCTCCCATCTCCCTGGCCAGCTCATCTCTTCTGCCTGCCTGCCCAAACCCCACAGCCACGTTCCTTAGCCTTTGTGCAGGGCACGGTGGCCTCAGGGTGGAAGCCAGGCCTTGTAGTCAGTTGTGCCTGGGTTCTGATCCCAGCTGTGTCGTAGCTACGTGGCCTTGAGCAAGTCACTTCATTACCTGAGCCTCAGTTTCCTCACCTGGGCAGATGGAGGTCCAATGGGATCTCTCTCATGGGGCCTGGGGAGAATCAGATGTAGCTGTGTAGGAGCTGATGTTGTGTTTTGTTCTCTGCTGAATTTCCCTGTGCATAGAGCAGTGTCAGATGCTCCCTAAATAGCTTTTTCAATGAGTCAATGTCGGTGTCTACTGGACAGTAATCAGTCACTAAAGTGGGGCTTGGTGTTACCACATTATTTCTGTGAGCAGATAAATGGGTAAATGGGGAGTGGATGGGTGAATGGGGGGTGGCTGGAAGCACAGATAATTGAACAATGAATAATGGACAATGATCCTGCGATGCCTGAAGAAACTGCTTCTTCCTGGCATCCTGGTTGCCTAGGACATGGAACTTCTAAATCCAGGCAGGTCCCAGGCAGACAGGGAAATTTGGTCCACCTACTGTACCTTCCTCTGTGACACCTTCGAAGGCCTGACACCGGTCAGACTGGTGACGTCCTCATCAGGGGTGACACTGAGGTTCATGACTTCCTGGTCTCTGCACACATCGGTGTCCGGGCTCCTCCTTCTGCTTCAGGGTGGCAGTCACCTTTCTTCCACACATGTAAAATTCCAAGCCAGGGGACGGGCCGTGTCCTCCGCTCAGGGCTGACCTCATCAGCCAGCTGAGAGATTCACAGTGGTGAGACTCCCATGGAGAAGCAACTGAAGCCGGCCAGGAGGCACAGGCATTTAATCCGAGAACTCAGGGAGGCTGAGGCAGGAGGATCGGCCTGGGTACCTTGGTGACTTAGTGAGACTCTGTGTCAATAAAAAAGGGTTGGGGTGTAGCTCAGCGCACAGACCATGGGTTCAGTCCCCACGGTCTGAATGAACAGAATGAAATAGAGAGCTAAAGAGAGAGAGAGAAAGAGAGAGAGAGAGAGAGGAGGAACCCACACTGTGAAATCAGAAGCCATCGCCCCTCAGCCCGCCAGCCTCTGACCCTCTTTGGTCCTGCCAGGCCCAGGAGCTGAGTCCCAAACCAGGTCCCGCTGTCCTCTTCCTCCAGCTTCTGGGGGTGCTGTGGCCTCGGTTCTGTTCACTTCGCAGCAGCCCAGGAAGCTGCAGCGTGCACCTCGGTGGTCATCCAGCCCTGCCTTCCGTTTGTCTTTGGGTCTCTGTCCGTTTGGGAGGAGCCCAGTCCTTGACCACAGAGAACACCTCAAATCCGGGACTGTTGCGATGATTCAAGGTCTTTAATGCAAAGACCCTCTTCCAAAGCAGTCCCAACCCTGAGGTGTCAGCCGTGAATCGGGGCCACTGCTTGGTCCCTGCGGAGCTTCCTCCTCTGGGAGGCACCCAGTGGGAGCTGAAAGCATCACCTGCATCCTGTGCCCCTTCCACGGGACCTCCCGTGACGCTGCTGGAGGGTGGACCACGGCTCCCGTCTCCCACAGACCCCTGGGTGCCCCCACTCGCCCCTGCGGGCTCCCTGGCAGCCTGACAGCTCCTCGTCACTCTGGGCTGTGGGGCGGGCGGGCTGGACACACAGTCTGCAGACTCCCAGCCTGGGAAGAGGGAAAGTGCTGACTTAAAAACCGAAGCCCTGACAGATGTAGCGCTTCTGCACTCCGCGATGGGCCTGCTGGCGCTTGTCAGATCCTAGCACGTTTGCTAATGTGCATTTTCATCAAAGGGATGGCGCCCGCTCCGGTGGCCCCATCGCTTCCTGGCTGGGCTGCCCGGTGCTGCCCGCCCTCCTTCTGGCCCCACCTCCGCCTCCCTCCCCACCCGCCCCTCCCCGTTCCTTTCTCCCTCCTGTCCTCTTTCTCTTCCTTTCTGTTCCTCTTTCTCCTTTTCCTCCAGTTCAGCAAGATAAGCATGAATGGAGCCTCTGGGGAATTCCGGGACCGGCGTGATGAGTGTCTTAGTCCTGCTCAGGCTGCTACAACAAAATCCCTAAGACAGGCGATTTCTGAGCAGCACAAATGTGTTGCCGCAGTTCTGACGCCGCCGGGAAGCCCCAGGGCAAGGCTTCTGCAGACTGGGTGCGTGTGTGGGGTGCTGAGTGTGACGGCCCCTTCTCGCTGCAGCCTCGCATAGCAAAAAGGCAACTGAGTTCTCGCCTACCCAGGAGGGATCCACTCTCATGACCTAATCACACCATCCCTAACTCTTCATACAACACTCTGAGTGTATGAATGGGGAGGCATGCAGCCATGCAGACCTTGGCCACGAGGGTATAAAGGCAAACAAAATCAG